CAGCTAGCACGGGAATGATAATGAACACCAGGCATCAGCCTTTTCAGGGAAAAAAAACAAAAAGAAATTAAGACCAAGGCACCAAGCTTGTACGGCTGCAGTTAAATTAGACAGCCCACACAGGGCGACTGTAGAATCGGAGGCACACGGTAAAATTTTCCCAAAAATTGAGTTAAAAAGCATAATAACAATAGTATTCTATTTTATCTTTAAATTTTAAAATTTTAACATTATAATTTATTAGTAGTAACAATTTCTTTTAGAAAATGAATAGAAAGGAGTAGGGAGGAGCACCAACACCAGAAGGAGAAGAAAACGACAAAAACGGGATCGAATCGAACTTTTTTTTTTTCAAATACAGGCAGGGATTAAACCTTTTTTTTTTTTTTTTTAACAATAACTCTGTTTATATTTACATATACATAAAGCTTAATAGTACAGAGACGAGGGGGAAAAGGGCAGAGAGGTGGTAGTGAGGCTCGTAAGGGAGGAGGGGGAGGAGGAAAAAAAAAAAAAACAAAGAAAAAGGAAAAAAAAAGGGACAGAAAAAGGGAAATGAAGGTATTTAGGGGGACATCCTACCCTCCTCCCTACCCTCCTAACGCCAACCCACCCACCCTCCCCCCCCCCAAAAAAAAGACTGCACTTTTCTGCTCTATCAATTTCCCATTCAGGTACCCTAGGGCAAAAAAAATAAAATAATAATAATAAATAAATAAAAATTCGAAGTACCCTATCAACTGCACCGCCTTACCAATTGCCTTCACCCCAACACCAGGATTAAAAAAATAATAATAATAAATAAATTTTAAAAATCTCGTTCAAGTCACCAGCATAGGGGCAAAAATACACCGAGTTTCGGGTTTTTTCTTTTTTTTATCAAAAAAAAAAAGGGTACACAGAGAGAGAGAGAGAACGGAGGAGGTTCAGGAGGCGTGAAGGGAGGAGTAGGACAAGCTGGTGGACAGAGAAGCGACAAGGATTATATACGAGAGAGAAGAGAGAAAGGAGGGGTAAATGTGAGAGAGAAGATATTATCTCTTCTCTCATATATCTACTCCTCTCTTCAATATACCTATAACCTCCTGATGAGTCAGTGGGTGAAACTCCGACAAAACAGTCTGTCACAGCCCCTCCCTCGTTTGTTTGTTGTCCTCTTCTCCTCTCTGCCTACGCATGGTTCACCGGGCAGTTCTGTTTGGCAATATACATACATATACATATATATATATACCTATATATACCTATATATAAAGTCACAAGGTTATCAGAGCGCAAAATCGAAAATACCTAATATATATCGTCACAAAATTATCAGAGCGCAAAAGCGAAAATACCTATAAAATACGTATAAATACCTATATATATTCCATTGTGACAATATATACCTATACACATACACATATATGTTTATATCCATACATATATATGTATGTATACATACGTTTATCCTCGCCGTCTTGTACCAAACTAAGCCGAATGCAGAAGGGACAGGACATCAGATAGCTGCGTTCCAAGCAGGATTAAGGGTGGTGGCGGGGGGGCTGGGGGAGACTGGTCGGGGTAGGGGGGAAGAGGGGAGGAGGAGGAGGAGGAGAAGGAGGAGAACGGACAGAAGTGGAAGAGGAGGAAGAGGAGGAGAATGAGATGCGTACAAGCCGACACCAGAGAGATCGTGACATTGAGATGGGGACGTGTGCTACCTAACCCAGCATCTCAGCGTTATTGAGATGAGAACAGTCCCCCCCCTCCTCCCCCTCTCCCCCCTCTCCCCCCTTGCCCCCCTCGCCTCACTCTTTCCCCCCCCATCCGACCTACCCCAAATCCTCACCCCCCTAGTCCTCCCCCTCCAATCCCCTCCGAACATCTCATCTGGGTTAAGACATCACACATCCTCTCGCTCTTGCCTGGCCTTCATGTGGTAGGTAACCCTGCGCTCTTCCCCCTCC